TCCAGGTTACCTACAGGATCGCCTCCTCCCATATAATCTGCCCTGTACGCTCAGGCCCTCTGGCAGACATTTACTCCAGTCAGCCAGGACTATGTTGGCAACTGTCAGCCAGAGGACTTTTTCTTCAGCTGTCACTAGACTGTGGTACGACCTGCTGGAAGAGTTTTGACAGCTGAAAATGCTGTCTGAGTTTAAAAGAGCATTAAAAACCAATCTCTTCCAGCAAGCTAAGCCAGATGATTTTTAAATTGTGAATTTTAAAGGATAGATTTTAAATGTGGGTTGTTTTAATACAATAGCGTTCCTGCACCAGGTGTCACCTGGTGTGGAGGGCGGGACTTCCGGGGGTGGTACTTCTGGCTGGGTTTTAGGAGGGGCCTTCCAGGAATAGCGCATGCTCCCTCTTCCTGAGCCAGACGGTGCTTGCAGGACAGAGCACACATGGAGGGATGGAGCGATGTGTGTATGCACATGGAGACAAAATGGCACTTGCGCATGCAAAAACAGCCACTTACACACATGGGGCAGAGATACTTGTGCACCCCCAGGAGACCGGGTAGCATGTGTGTTAGACAGACTGTGGGGGATGGTGCAAGGGAGCTGACCAGGTATCACCCCCCCTTCGAGGCTGTCACTTGGTAAAGTCCACACACCCCACACACTCCTAGTAATGCTATTGTGTGTTTATCTTATTTGCCTTTTAAAACTGATATGTGTTTTAAACTGACATGCTTTAGATCAGGGGTCGGCATACCTTTTGGGGGTGGGGCCGGTTCTGCTGTCCCCCAATCGTCGGCAGCCCAAAGGGAGGAAACAATGGCGCCAGAGGTGCATGCACACTTGCGCACTTGCGCATGCATGCACACTACTCCCGCTGTCATGCACATGCGTGCATGACGTGGGGTGCTATTTTGCATTCCAAAATGGTGCCCGCGCTCACACACGCATACGCACGATGGCAGGCGCCATTTTGGAACACATTCCAAAATGGTGCCAGCTGCTGTGTGCATGCGTGTGCGAGTACATGCGCCATTTTGGAATGCAAAATGGCACCCTGCGTTGTGTGTGCACAGTGTGCGCTCAGCAGTGGCAGTGCGCGTGCTGCACTGGCGCCTGCGGCAGGACCGGCCATGGGCCAGTTACAAGGCCTCGACAGGCCGGGTTCAGCCTGAGGGCCGTAGTTTGCCAACCGCTACTTTAGATGATGTTATTTGTTAATGCTTGTTGTCCTTCGCCTTGATCCACAGGGAGAGGCAGGTTGTTATTATTATTATTATTCAGACTTTTGATGGGAGTAGGCTGCTACTACCACCCCACAACCTTCCCAGGTCTGGTGGAGCTGCTAGCCATGTGAGAAAGGGAGGAGGCTTGCTTTTCAACCCAGCCAGCAAAGCCACCAGACCTGGATGACAGCCCTTTCCTACAAGGGCACTGGGTGATCTCTTTCTGTGCCATACACCTACACATGCTCCTAATGATGCCCCTGCCTACCATGTTTTAGATTAATTTCTCCTCTTGCTTTTTTACTCTTGAAGCTACCCCAGCAAGTTTAATAACTTGTTGATGTCATTATGCTTGCTGCATGCAACTGAATTCCAGTGAAGTATTTTCTGGATGTACTCACAGTATATTACTGAAGATAAAGTATATACCTGTTTTGCAACACTATTCTGTATTAGCCAAGTTCCATCCCTTGTTGCCTCCTTGTTTGTTGTGATGATACCACTAAGTTCATCTAGTACTCACCTTGGCACCTTCCCTGCCAGCAGCACCTGGCAAGCCTTGCTCACCAGGGGGACCGGGGGAACCTGGGTGGCCTCTTTCCCCTGTGGGACCAGTTTCTCCTGAGTTTCCCTGTGGTGCAAAGAAGGTACAGTAACATGTTAAGAACACATCAGGGACCAAAAAAAGGCAGGTGGATTAGAGTTGTTGAGGCAGCCACCAAAAGTGAACCAGGGGGCTTCCTTCACATCTGGGATTGGAAACCTTCATCTCTCATGTTCTTAATAAACTACTATTCCCAATGTGACATGACAAAAGGAATTCAACATCATCTAGAGGAGGAGTATGTGTGCCTATAGGCTTCATGTGCCCCACTGGTCCACTTTGTGGCTCCTAAAGTCTGTTGAAGCCCATGAAGCCCCAAGACTCCCCACATACACACACAATTATTATTTTTTTAAACCATTTGGGGCTAAAAATGGCTCAGAGACATCACAAAGCACATTGATTTTTCTCTCACAACCTCCATAAAACCCCACAATACATAAAAGCCATATGACATCACGTCCAGTCACGTTAGTGAGACCCTGGTGATCTGGATTGGAAAATGGGCCCCATTCCCCCTTCCACTGTAGCTCACCCTGATCTAGAGTGTGACAGTTTCCCAAGATCTTGTTCCTCAAATCATCCCTCCAGCATATTGGAAGTGAGAAAACAGTTCTCAATATAGGATATAAGAGAGGCAGTGTATTGTGGATAGGAGATGTTCTGAAGGCTGCAGTTCAAGAGTGAACAGAACCAGCAGGTCTTATGCCTGTAAAACAGTCAGTTGATTCTGAAACTGGGATACAGTAGACCCTACAAAACTTAAGCAGCTAAGCCAGTTCTTTACTAAGAGCAATTTGTCCCTACAAGTAATAGACTGCTGGTGTCTCCCTTGGCCCAGTTTGCTCAGTCTGAAATCTATAGGGAAGTAAATCTTCATTTCTTTCATCCTTGTGAGTGAGAACAAATAATTTCAAGAAATTTCTCTCCACTGAGGGAGGGGGGAAAATGACACACTTTTCAAAGACTATTCACAGTCTGAGACTCTCCCAAAAGAGTACTTTTGCAAAAGCACAAAGAAACCCATGGATTTTAATGTGTTGGAAACACTGGGAAGAGAATATATGAAATTTTAATAGAGACAGATTGTATAATTAGTATGGTGGAAACAAATACACCAAAATGCTCACATAACCCAGCTCTACCCCTGGTGAGCCACAATATTAAAATACCCTGACTCTAATGCCTAATTATCAGTACCAATGTCACATTTATAGTGTCAAGGTTCAAGTTTAAAGAATATCTATTGTGTAAATTTTGCTATCCCAGCCTGATCAGTTTCTTTGCAAGAAATTTATGATTTCCATAGAAAGCATTATTCTCTATAGAGGCAGATATCTTCTGTCTAGAAAGTAACATTTTCTGCAAAAGAAACCTGAGGGAGGGGGTTGCAAAAAAAAAAAAACCCCACACACAACAACACAAAAAACAAAATAAACAACCAGGTGGTTTTTGTTTATGCTTTGGTTTTTCTTGAGCAAACATCATTTTCTACTTAGCAAACTTGATTTTGTGCAGAAAATACTTTTTGATTATTTTTTATTTTTATTTTTATTTTTATTTTTTATTTTTTTGATACAGGATCACCTCCCTTGTGTGTATGCATGCATGTTTGATAGAAAATGTAATTTACTTTACATAAAACCTATGTTCAGCACAGGAAAGATGATTTTCCATGCAAAATTTTGATTTCTATATAGAAAATCATATATTCTGCACTTGAAACTTATTTATTTGCTCACAAACAAACATTCAGACAAACATTCAAACATTTTTTGTTACATTTGTTATCTGGTCAAAGCCCTGACTAGCAATATTATTGTATTTCCTTTCTATCCAACTTTTCTCCT